ATGCAACAAAGACGCGGAGAAGAAATAGCGGAGTCCAGTCTCCCCAGATGGGCGTTGCGGGATCCGGGCCACCGACCTTCCGCGGACACGGGCAAAACAATAGACAAACAATAACGATGGCTCAATAAATTCAGTGACCGCAACGGTGATATTTCTCCCGGCGGCCAAGATGTGGAGCGTCTCCGTATCAGATGTCTTTCCTTATCTCTGAATAACTTGGAACAGTAGCGTGACAACATCGGAGGGGGCTCCGGGGAGTTGAAGCTCACCTTTGTCCAGAAGGAAGGCTCAGAGGGAAAAGGGCGAAAGAAAATAAACAGTCAGTGGCCCAGGGGAGTTTTGGGTTCTTTTTTGATACCCCAAGACCCAAACTTCCAGGGTGCCCTGTGTTTTCTCTGCCACAGGGACATGGTGGTGCCTGAGTAACCCACGCTTTTGTTGTTTTCCACAGACACAGACTTTATCTTCTCTAATAGGGCTGCATGCAGTTCCCTTTTCTGTATGTGCACAACCACCACCTTTTCTCTTGGGGGGAAAAAAAAAACACACAAAACCACAGGAACGAAAAACTGAAACAAATAGTAGTAGCTGCCGGGATCAAACAGGGATCCCTCGATGAGTAAGTTGCTAGCGTCTGGCTGATGTGATTAATATTGCATTTGATTGTTCATAACTCAGAGGGGCAGCAAGAAAGTATTTTTAAACAATGGCTATTGAGTTTGCTGTTGGTGAGAAGGCATATACTTACCAAGAAGGACTCCCGGTGGTTAATTGGGTTCGAATCCCAGTTAGCTGCAGGCAACTCAATTCATCTGTGCCCATGACTGTTGGCTTGTGAGAGGGTGGTTGTTGAGTGACTGGCTGATCCACAGCTCGCTGGGAGGGAAGGGCTAGGCTAGCCTGGCGTTCTGCTTTGCTGTGCAGCACACAGGGTCCAGGCACGGTCACTAAGCCGCCAGCACTCACCCTCCATGAAAGGCGACACCGCAGCTTTACAAAGAGGATGAAGGAAGTCTGCTGGTGAGCCTCAACCTCTTGTCTCTGGCTCACCATAGCTTTGTCACTACCTGCTTCTCTGCATGTGAACAGCCCCTTCATGTGTGTGCGCTCCTTGCATGTCTCTGACTTGTCATCGTCTCAGTGGATGTGTG